GATGTCTCCCGCACCCAGATCTGGAAGCATATGGTGGTGGTCAGTAGCACTTAGCAGCCAGCAGCTTCTCCCGTGCCCTCCCCCAGCAAACTGGGCAGTGTCTCCATTTCTCTGTGATAGCTAGAGATATCTAGCTAGCTATCTAGCACCCTAGAGGGCATATTTCTAGAACATTCTGTCAACATGGCATCTCAGAGATGTCTCTGCATCCAGGGGGCCACAGCCATGTCATTTCCAAGGTTCATACTTCAGCTGGGGATGGAGTAGGGGTGGGAGGGGGTCTCTATCTCAGCCCTTTGGTGGTGCTATGCCTTACATCTGCTATTTCTATATTCTTTATAGGAGATTACTTCTTATTAACTAATCCATCATTTTGACCCCCCATTAAAGTTAGTAATTCTCTATATTAAATGCCTTATATTCAAATGACTGTGTGCTTTCTGTCTTCTGACTGGCCCCTGACTGATACATCCAAAAAGAGGCTGCCTAAGCAATCAGAGATTCCCTGGTGCCTCAGACGGTAAAGTGTCTGCCCGCAATGTGGGAGACCCGGGTTCGATCCCTGGGTTGGGAAGATCCCCTGGAGAAGGAAATGGCAACCCACTCCAGGACTCTTGCCTGGAGAATCCCATGGATGGAGGAGCCTGGTGGGCTACAGTCCATGGGGTCGCAAACAGTCGGGCACGACTGAGCGACTTCACTTCACTTAAGCAATCAGGACAGTGACATAGGTGTGCACTAGGTCAGCAGCTCTAGGATGGAGAAGAGTCCCAAGTTACAATAGATATATCTCAGGTAAAGCCACACTCTAACTCAGAACCATATAGGGAAGAAGATTCTGTACAGTGAGGTTCTTGACTTATTTTGCAAAGCACAGAACTGAGAAAAGGGCGGCAGTGAGGCCAAGTTGACCACGCACAGGCGATCATGTAATCTTGGGCTATGTCAGGCTAGAGGAGCCTGTGGGACATCTAGGTGGCCACACCCAGAAGAAGTTTAGAAATGTGTGGCGGGAAAAGGTAAAAGAACAATGGCTGGAAGGGAACCTCCAGAAAACCCTAGGTTCCTCATGTCTTGGAACTGTTTCCTGCAACAGATACAGCACATGATCCACACACAAAAGATGCTCCATAAATGTCATCTCCTGCATTTAGAAGCCACTTCACAGAACCTGTCAAATGGCTCTTGGCCTCAGAATGATATCTTTCTTTAGAGGATTTTCAAATAATAATAATAATAAGGAAGCCACAGTTGGGCCTCACCTCTGAATATGGCAGATTAGCTGGTATCAGACTAACCCTCCCGCTGAGAGTAGCTTAAAATCCTGTAGTTTCTTTTTCCTTAAATCTTGCCTGAATGTATCAGAGAGCTACCAAGGCAGTGAGGACTTGAGGAGCCAAGATCCTGGAGAGAAATGAAGTCCAGAGAGATGAAATGGACATCAAGGTCTTCTCATCTACTCCAGGCACTTGCCAATTCCTAAAAAGAGTTGAGAAGGCTGAAAAAGTGGGTGGAGCTTCCAGCAGACTCACAGCTGAGAGGCTGGGGGCTCACCCTGGAGGAAAAGGACTGGCTGTTAAAAACTTTTATAAAATAGGTATCTAGTTAAAGTTCCTGAAGAGCAAGGACCTGAAAATCAATGCTAATCAGAAACAGACTAAATCTCACTAGGACTAAAACCCAGAGTCAAGCTATTTCAACTTTACCTTTCCCAGAAGCAAAAATAAATCCTTTCTGAAGGAATATCCAGAGTCTTGTACATTTCTTCCATCCTTCATTTTTTTTTTTAAGAGTCTAACATTCAATCAAAAATTTCCAGGAATACTAGAAGATAAGATCAACTGACCAAAAACAAAAGGAACATATTTACAGAAGGACCAGATATTGGAATTAGCAGATGTGGACTACTAAAGAAAAAACTTTTAAATATTGGAAAAAAAATGGTGAAGAAAACAGATGACAGGATGGACAATTATATCTGAGAACTGTGAACTATTTTAAAAGTCAATTAAAAACTATAAGACTGAATATTACAATAGCTGAAATTAAGAACTCAATTGAAAGGACTTCCCTGGTGGTCCAGTGGTTAAGACCCTTCATTTCCAATGCAGGGGGCTACAGCTTCGATCCCAGGTCTGGGAACTAAGATCCTCACATGCTGCATGATGTGGCCAAGAAAACTACAACAAAATCAAACAAAGAAAAAACAAATGAGAGCAAAAATAATGGAGTGAAGATAGTCAGTAAAAAAAATATTCATACTAAATCTTGAAGAACGAAAAGAACAGAAAACACAGTCTTAGAGGTACAGTGATAAGACTTTAACACACATATCCTTAGGAGTCCCAGACAGAGACAAGGGGAAACAAAAGTAGAAGCTATAATGAAAAATATTATGTCCCAGATTTCAAGATGTGCTCTGAACCCCAAACAGGATAAATATAAAGAAATCTATATCTAGGCAGATCAAAATACAATTGCTGAAACCCAAAGCGGAGAGAAAACTTTAAAAACAGCACTGAACTAACAACCAGTGAAAGCCAATGGCATCTTCCAAAGGTTGGGGGCAGAGAGGAAGGGGGAAGCTGTGGTACTCCGGAATTCTTGACTTACCAAAAATTTCTTTCAAAAATAAAAACACAATGGAGACCTCTCAGCAAACCAAAACTCATTCTGTCACCAGAAGATCTGTACTGGAAGGAAAATATAAAGGTACTTTTAAATATAGTTAATACTATTCTACAGAAAAATTCCAAAGGTAGTTTCTGGAGAAGGTGAATGAACCTGGATTCATGTGTGGAAATGTAGGAAGGGACAAAGAGTAACAACAAAATAACAAATGAAGAACAACAAAAAGTAAACATGTGGATAAACCTAGTGAACACCGACTATATAAAACATTAATAATGATGTCCGTTGTGGTTTACAGTACAGCAAGAATTGAAACTCATTGTAACAAGAGGACCACAGGCAGAAAAGGTGAGGGTTCTAAACTCTTTGGATTGTCCAGAAAGTGGTAGAAGGATTCTCTTGTCGCGGACTTGAGTGACTCAACGATGTATGTTGTACTTTAGAGTAACTGGTATGGGAGAAGATTACATACCTCACAAGCTAATAGCAGAGAAATTACACAAATCACAAAACCTTAATGCAAATGAAGGCAAAAGAGTACAGAAAGAAGAACACAGAAAGGGAGAAACAATGAAAAGTAAATAGTAAGATGGAATGTTTAATCTCAAATCTATTTAACACATCAGGAAACACACTAGAGATAGCATAGTAAATATTCTATTTTAAAAAGGCTAAATTTTTTAAATACCATACGTTTATAAGAGGGGTATCTTAAATATAGGGATATAGGTAAGTTGAGAGTAAAATTACAAAGATACACTATATAATCACTCATCAAAAGAAAGCTAATGTATCAGACAAAGTAGATTTTCAAGGCGAAAATCTACTAGAGATAAGGAGGGACATTTCATAAAGATAAAAGGGTCAAATCAGGCAGTTTTAATGATTATAAATTTGTATGCGCGGAACAACAACAAAATTTGTCAGAAGTGAATTAAAATACATGTTCACACAAAAACCTGTACACAATTGCTCATGGCAGCATTAATCGTAATAGCCAAAAAGTAGGTTCATTACCCCAAGTGATGGATAGACAAAATATGGTATATAAATTACTCAGTCATTAAAAAGGAGTAAAGTACTGACACATGCTACAGTATGGATGAATCTTGAAAATATTATGTTTCATGAAAAAAACAGTCAAACCTAAAAAGCCACAAACTGTATGATCCCCTTTATATAAAATGTCCAGAACTAGAAAATCCATAGCGAGAAAAAGTAGATCGGTGATTGTCAAGTGCTGGGGAGAAGGCATAGGGGGTGACTGAATGTGTAGGGGGCTTTTTCTAGTGGGGAGAGAAGAGGTGATGAAAATGTTCCAGAATTAATCAGTGGTAATGTTTGTATAATCTTGTGAATATACAAAAAACAACTGAATTTTAGTCTTTAAAATGGTGAATTTTATGGCATATTAATGACATCTCAGTACTTTGGACTCTGCAATTAAAACAAGAAAACTTGTCAAAAGTAAAAGGAGAAAACAGAAAATCTACAATCCTAGTTGCAAATTTTCCTCTCTTGATAGAACCAACCAGCCAAAATCAGTGAGGATACAGATTTGAATAACATAAGTAAAATCTTACCAAGTAGACACAGGTAGAAAACAGTATGTAGCAGCTAAAGAAAAGACAGCATTGGATGATGGAGCCCTTACTATGGACCACACTATGAACCAGACCTTGTGCTTTACATGCATCACCTCAATTCATCTCCCTGACATCACACACTCCCTTAACAGATGAGGAGGAACACAGGGTGAGCATCTGGTCCAAAATCTCCAACCAGCTTGTTCTTAAAACCCCGCTAGGCTTCTTCCGGTACTGAATTTCAGAGAGATCAGACTGGACTCTTTATTCACATAAGTACACCTCACGGTGCTGGGGTAGCTGAGTTCCAATGCAGAATGAATAAACAGGAACTGTTAATCAACTTCATCATCAACAAAAACATACCTGGGGCACCTACAGCACACAAGACATAATGAGAGATAAAAAATAATGATGACAGCCACAATTTATTGAAATTTTACTCAAGTTTGCAACTCACAGTTGTAAGCACTTTACAGTATTTTTCCTATCATTTAATCTTCACAATCAGTTGCCAGGTAGGCACACTTATCCCCACTCCACCCTTGACGACTGAGACCCAAGGATGGGAGGCACCTCCCCTAAAGTGGCAGTCCTTGGATTTGTGGCTCTGGAATCCAAGCCCTCCACTCCTGCTTCACAACACAGCACCATCTTCAACAGCACCATACTTATCATTAACCCAGAGCCTTTATCATTAACCCAGCCCACACGTTCTTTTATGGAATCTCATCTTCACAGCAACCCTGTAAGGTCTAGGCAAGACAGAGATCACAGAACTTTCTAAAAGAAGAAACCGAGGCTTGAATGCAAAGAAACGTATCTTGTGGGCATACCTGAATGGTCCATGTGCCCAGTGAGACCACCATAAACTCTACAGAGGGGGAAAGGCAGGAGAGAACTCACCAAGGGACCTTTAAGGAGAAACTGCTGTTTTCTCAACACACACACATTTTTATTCTCTATTATTATACTTACCAGGGCTTTGTGGTTGGATGATAAACATGGGCTTCTACTGATCACATTCACAGCCCACACTTCCTCTGTGGCAGGTGGAAGAAAGCAGTGATCACTTTTATGAATAAATCTCATTAAGCAAAGCAGGCCACATCATCGGCCAAAGAGAAATGCTTAAAACAGCCATTTCTGAGAGCTGGTCTATGCTCATGCTTTCTCTTCTCTGGCCCAGAGAAAATGAACAGTCAGATTCATCTCTTACATGGTAAGTCAGCCACATAATTACATTTCATGTTCACTAGAGTCATTTATAGGGTGAACTGACATTCAGAGAGGTTAACTTAGCCAAGGTCACACTGCTAAGAAGAAGCAGATCTAGGATGAGAATCCAGGTCTCCTGTAACCCCATCCAAATGATTATCAAGTCTGGGGCACCTCATCTGTGTGGGGCTATAGAACCTCTCTACATGTAGATAAAGGCATAACAGACAGAAAGGCCAAGGGCAAGAATGGAACAGAAAATGCAGGAACTTTCCAGATATTTGACTTTGAAAGGGCCAATTAAAAAAAAGAAAAATCCAGGCTACCCATTATACAGATGTGTAAACTGAGGACCAGCCAAAAATTACATAGCTAAAAGTGGCAGTTCAAGACCAGAACCCCAGTCTGTGCCAATTCTACCTATCATTCAACTGAGTACAGAGAATCTTTTGCAAAAGCTACTATTGAGATGACAAGCATTCGATCCACAGGAATTTTTTTTTCCTTAGCAGGTCTAGGTCATACACAGAAAGTATAAGTCTTTGTCCTTGAGGGGTTTAAGGTCTGTGCGCAAGAAAACAGGATCAATAACATGAAACGGCAGCAAAGGCAGCAGCTACATCAAGAACCCAAAGGAGGGAATTCCCGGGTGGCCCAGTGGCTGAACCTGGAACTTTCACTGCAGACGCCCCGGGTTTAGCCCTGGGCAGGGAACCATCCAGCATGCCATGTGACACAGCCAAAACGCAAAATAATAATAGTAATTTTTTAAAGAGAGAGAGAGAATTTAAGAGAGGCAGAGTCAGGAATTCCCTGGATGCCCAGTGGTTAGAACCCAGTGCTTTCACTGCCAAGAGCCTTGTTTCAAGCCCTGGTTAGGGAACTAAGATATGCAAGTCCTGTGATGTGGCCAAAAAAACCTAGGTGAGATGATTTGGATTAATAAAGAGGTAATTTTAAAAAATAAAAAAATAGAAGTGGCAGAGATGTTGGAAGGCTTCCTGAAGGAGGGGTAAGGATAGCTAGGCTTTAAAGCATGCAAGAAGGAGGGCAATATGGAGGAGGGGACTAAGGTACAGACTCCCATGTATAAAATAAATAAGCTACAAAGATATACAACACAGGGAATACAGCCAATATTTTATAATAACTATAAATGGAGCATAACCTTTAAAAATGAGGAATCACTATATTGTACACCTGAAACTTACCTAGTATATCTTACATCAACTATACCTCAATTTTAAAACATCTTTTTTTTTAAAAAGCATGCCTAGAAATCCAACAGATGCAAAAGAATAGCTATGTCAGTTCAGGAAACAGTTTCAACCTATTAAGGATTTTTATGGGCGATGAAGCCAAAATTGCAGATGATGGCCAGGGGAGCCTTTAAATGCCAGGTGAGGGTCTTTAGATTTGGGCCCAGGGAACAATGGGTCTTCATATTTTTTCAGCAGCAGAGCACCTGGCAGCCTCTGAGCTCTTCATGGAATTCCACAAGGGACAGATCTTGCTTCACTGCAGGACAGCGTTAGTGTCAGGGAACAGGACTGCTGCTCTCCGTCTGCAGTATGAGACCACACCCACGGGCATGTGTGCCTTGGAACAAAGTAAGTCCTCTGATCAGACAGGATCAGTCTCTTCCAAATCTTCTCATTAGTAGTTACATGCTGTTCCTTCCTTCCTTCTCTCTCCTGAAGGCCTGCATGCTAGCAGCAAGCCCAAGTGACATCACTTTTCAGAAAATGTAGGGCAAGAGCAACTTAAAAGTGGAGAACACTCTGAGAATTCACTTCTTTGCTTCAGATTGGAAGGGGGCATCTTGTAATTTAAGGGGCTCAAGGCAATGCCAGTCAGAACAGAGTCCTCCCTGAGTCTCCATCTGACAAGAAATGGGTGAGGACCAGAGCATCGCCTGAGACCAAGCTTTGGGCCCACTTTCAGCCCCATCTGGTCATCTTCACATTTTCGGGGATCATCAGACAATGAAAGAGATGGGCGAGGGGCCTCTTCCACTCATGCCAACGGTTCTAAGCAGCACAGAAAGTAGCTCAGAGTGGGACCATCGGCTTCTGCAAAGGCCAGAGGTCAGCGTGGGCTGTCGACATGCCATTTTGGTGCAGGGTCCTGGAGGGGACACCGGATCCCCAGTGCTGACGTGACTGACAGCCTCAGGGCACCCCAGACGCTGCTCCCCTCACTGAGGCCTCGCCATCAGCCACCCTGGAGCTCCGAGGCCTCCCTGACCTCTCACCTTCAGTCCTGGGGGAAGAGGGGTACCTCCATTCCGAGGTCACCTGGCCAGGAATGGGCAGCACCCCGTGCCCAGGATGTAGGCTTCTATGAGCTGGCAGGGGCATGGGATCCTTGGAGAGTCCGTGTGCCGTGTCCCCAGGTCCTGGGGAAGCTGAGAGGTCACGAGGAGCCGGATGTAGTAGCCGCCAAACACTGCCAGAAGCTGCTGGGCCATTTCCTGGAAGAGGCAGGGAAGCAGAGTGAGGGCCACAGAGAGGTCTCTAAAGAGTGAGGAGAAAGCCACGTGGTCCTTGGCTTTGATGCTGGTCCAGCCGTGATACTCACTCAGAAGGACCCGGCCAGGCCCTCGGCCGGGGATCGATCTTGCAGATGCCTGAACGGGTCCAGAACTCCCGCTCTCAAGCTCTGTGAGGCTACTACAGTCTCCATTTCCTCATCTCCAAGGTGGGCAACCTAACTGCTAATAGGTGATAATATGCACAAAAAAGCTTCCCTAGCAGCTCAGACGGTAAAGTGTCTGCCTGCAACGTAGGAGATCTGGGTTCAATCCCTGGATGGGGAAGATCCCCTGGAGGAGAAAATGGCAACCCACTCCAGTACTCTTGCCTAGAAAATCCCATGGATGGAGGAGCCTGGCAGGCTACAGTCCATGGGGTTGCAAAGAGTCGGACACAACTGAGCAGCTTCACTTTCACGCACAAAAAGGTTAGGGAGCACTAGAGAAATTACCATTAGCTTATACCAGCCAACCGCACACACACACCCAGAGACACAGTCTCTTTCTCTCTTCTTCCAGTTTCAAGTGATTTTGTAAAGTACACGAGGTCAGGGTAATGCATCTGAAGAGACTCACCAGTAAACGGAGGCAGGGCTGGGAGAATACCCCTATGACGGCAGATTCTTCAATTTACACACGCTAGTACCTGCTGTATTACTTCAGACTAGTACTCCTATATTAAGTGTGCTGACAAAAACCACTGCAATATTGTAAAGTAATTAGCCTCCAACTAAAAAAAATAAATGAAAAAATAAAAAATTTAAAAAAATAAAAGTGCTTATCAAGGCTACCAGATCACGCCTCTCTCTTCTATGCTGTGTGAGCCCCCTAGGGAAAATAAAGGATGCTCTGATGCAGGGACAGTGGGGTTTAGGGCCTGACTCAGTTGGATATTTAGGGGCAAAAAAAGCTGAGCCTAAAAGTGCAAGGGGACTGTCCCCGTCCCACTGAGAACCTGCCTTCACTTCCTGCCCTCATGCCTGTGAGAGGAGCAGGTTTCTCTCCAACAAACTACAATGCATCATTTCACCCTGTTCACATATTTGCTTTTGTTTGCTGGTTTGCTGGCTGAGGCCAAAGACCTCTTCAAGCAGAGGTGTGTGTACACAGGATCGGACACAAGACCAACACGGTACGATTCCATTTAAAAGAGGCACACACAGCAATAAGTTCAGGAAGTCCAGGCGGCTCAGTGGTAAAGAGTCCATCTGCTGATGCAGGAGACCCAGGTTCAGTCCCTGAGTCAGGAAGAGCCCTTAGAGAAAGAAATGACAATCCACTCCAGTACTCTTGCCTAGAAAATGCTATAGACAGAGGAGCCTGGTGGGCTACAGTCCACAGGGTCACAAAGAGTCGGACAAGATTGAGTGACTGAGCACATATGTGTGCCTGTGCATGTGCATGTGCGTGTTAGTCGCTCAGTCATGACCGACCCTACGGACTGTAGCCCACCAGGCTTCACTGCCCATGGAATTCTCCAGGCGAGAATACTAGGGTAGGTCGCCATGTCCTTCTCCAGGGGTTCTTCCCGACCCAGGGACTGAACCCAGGTCTCCTGCATTGCAGGCAGATTTCTTACCACTGAGCATACCCACAGAGCAATAAATTCATAGAGACAGAAAGTAGAATGGTGGTTCCCAGGGGCTGGGGAAGGTAAGAGAGTTTGTATTTAACAGGTATGTGGTTTCAATGATGAACAAAGAAGATAAAAAGCTTTTGGAGGAAGATGTAGTGATAGTTGCACAACAATGTGAATGTACTTAAATGCCCTTGAATCACACACTAAAAAAGTTATGGTGGGAAATTTAATATTAAGTATATTTTATTGCAGTGGAAAAAAATTTAAGTAAAAAAAAAGAATTGGAAAAATTGTGTTTACTCCATGCTCTTATTAACACATTTGGTCTCCAAAGTTCCATCCACCTGTCTGGCAGCTGGGATTCCAGGGAAGATGCTCTAGCTCCTTAAATGCAGCACAGCTTAGGTGGTAGGACCCAATAAAACTTTGGAACAGGAGGAAATGGAATTCAACAGAGATGCACATAAGATTTCAATATCCAATTGCAATTTAAGAAGATAGATTCATGACAGACTGCCTGATAAACAGATTTTAAAAAGACCCAAATACTTATCAACATATTCATGTTTAGGTAGGCTTACCATCTACTGACACACAACTACACATCCCATGGAACTACACAAAAAAAATACCAAGATATTTTTTAAATGGGGGGGGGGACCTAATAAGTATTTTATATCTAAAATTTTATATTTATTTTCCACTTTCAGAGATCTTTCACCTGCAGCCAGTCTGAAGGTAATGCAGTAAGGTATGGGTTAC